CCATCAGCCCAGAGCCCGACGCGGGGCTCGAACTCACGGGCCGCGAGATCGTGACCTGGCTGAAGTCGGACGCTTAACCGACTGCGCCACCCAGGCGCCCCCCAAAATTTTTTTTTAAATGTGAAAGTTGCCTTTTGGTGGGACCAAAGTTGGATGAGGCTGGATACTGAGTTCAATTAAATCATGAGTCAGGTGGGGAAAAGTAGTCACAAAGACATGGAAACTCTGCAATAACAGTCGTTTGAAAGGAACTTAAAGATGGGGCCCCAAACAAGTAAATCAGGATTGCAATTGGGAGAATATAATTTGCATGTGAAGAAATAGAAGGAAAATGAAGAAACTGGACAGGGAAGAAACTGAATGGATCTGCAGGCAGTTGGTGGTTTCCAGGATTTGGGTCATGCAACAATAGGCCAACTGGAAATATTGTTTGAAGAAAGTGGTGTTGCTGTTTCCTGGACCTGTTTGTTTGATCTTACAGGGTTTTGCCCTGGGCGACTCCTCATGTCACAGGGAGAGAGGGGTTTGCTCCCTCAGTGTTTTGTAATTATGGCTTAGGAGGGATACCTACATGGCAGTACTAGGACCCTGTTGAGGCCACATGGGATTTGACTTCCCTGAGAAGGGAGATATATAGTGGCTGGGTATGGAGAGGCTTAATGTTTCTTCCCCTACATTGTGTATGCATAAGCATAATGGGGAAGCAAAAGCACTTGATAAAATCAAGGAAGAGGGAAACCTGTATTTTGAAAGCTATTATGAATATTAATTATAAATGATTATATTATTTTCAAGGAGCCACAATTCATGTTAAAGTAGGTTCAAAACTGAATTGTATTAATCTCCGTAGAGACTTTTTCAATTTATGATGACCACATGTAATAGTACTTGAAAGGAATCATTCCTGTTGTTTTAGAATCTAGGTTGTAGCCCCAAATCTGAGAGTACTGATAAATATTGTTACACTCTAAATAGAAGTACTAAATATATCCATACTACACTTAACTAAAAAATAGATCAAAATTGGTCTAGCAACTATTAACACCCATCACCTATTTCCAGCTCTATTTTTATATAAAACAAGATTAAAGTTTTTTTTCTAAAAGAAGACTGTGTAATGTCCTTGAAGAAGAGTGGGAGAAGGGAATATGGTGCCATCCAGCGCACCAGCTGAGGAATGCTCCAAGGCATCCATTCATATTGAGTTGACTTAAAGGGAGAAGGCCATCCTATTATTTTCAGCCTAAAGAATCACAAGGACCAGTGTTTCCATAGGATTAACGCAGGGACTTTCAGATTTTTTTTTCCAACAGATGTGTGTTTCTGTGTGCTTGTGTGTGTGTAACTGAACACAATTATTTTGTTCTATTCTATTCTAAATTTTATTCTATTCCATTTTATTCCATTCCATAATAAGAAATGTTTATCGAAACCAAATAAATCGATTTCATGATCCACTTTTTGAAAACAATCAGACTAAACTGAAGTATAGTGAATGACTTCACAGAAGACTGTGACTTTAGTTTCTTAAGGTTTGTGGGCATATAACTGTATAATTAAAGACCTGTGTTCTCTTCCTATGTAATGAATTCAAAGTCAGAAAGTTAGGCTGGAGCATCTCTTGATGGTAATTAGGGGCCAGGAGAGAGAGTGGCAGTGGAAAGAACCTACATTTTCTCCATGCGAGAAAAGTGTGTAAGTTTTTTTTTTGTTTTTTTTGTTTTTTTTTAATCAGTGGACACTGGACGATGTAATGGAGGGACAGCTGCCTTACAGGACAAGCAGGCTCAACACAAAGAAGTGGAGTGATGGAATCTGAGGTGGGTTAGGAGCTCAGCAGGGCTAGAGATTGGCTAGGAAGAGTACCACCCATACCTACAGTGCAGTAGGCCTGGGGAAGGGGGGTGGGAGAGGAATGCTCCGAAGAACTCACAGTTCTGTTCTACAAAAGAGCTAGCTAGCATTTGGCCAGGAGCCACTGTAGGCCAAAAGAAAAATACAGTGATGGTAGATTTTTCTTGCTTGCCTTTCCTCTGACACTACAGCTATAGGAAAATGGAAGGGAAAGAAAGTGAAAAATGAGTCAAAGGCAATATTGCTACCTCCTCTACCTTAAGTTATTAGGTTAGGTTATTAGTTTACAGAGTTGGGAGGTAAAAGAAACTTTGAACTAGATGATATTAAAGTTTGGATGCTGTATTTGACAGTACATCTTAATATCTAAAAGTGAATCTTAATTAACCAGTTAAGAAAATTTAACACCTAAAATAACTGGAAAAGTGAAGAGATCTGTCTGAAATATCCAGGGGCCAAAAGAGAGATTTGAAATAAAGTAGGTGGAGAAAAAGAAAACATTTTCTGTTTACACTCTTGTTAAATCCATTCTTTAAATTGAATATACAATTTACTAGCTACAATATCTATATGCTTTGTTTGTTCATCTTTACATGCCCAGGGCTTGATCCAGTGCCTGGCACATCTGATAAAGTGAATTAATTTATGTCAAATGAGTGATATGCCTCAAAGATCAGTATGAACCCCAGTAATAGAGTTGACACAATATAAAGCAATCTTTAAAAGTACAATTTAAAAAATACATTTTTAAATTGGGCAGTTGATCTTCTAATGGTAACTCTATTGAAATGTAAAATAGGAATTGATTCCATGAATTACCAAGATAAAATATACTTGTTTGTTTTTGAATGGTGGCTAAAACATAAGCTCTGGAATCTTATGACCTTGGTTTGATCCGCAGTGTAGCTATTTTCTTTATGTTTATTTTTAACCTTGAGCAAATAAGTTAATCTTTCTGAACCTTAGTTTCTTTGACTGTCCAATGGGAATAAACAATATTATGTCTTAGGTATGTTATGAGATTCAGTTTAAAAAAAAGAAATTTAGTATACCAATATGAATATATTGAATGCTCAAGGAATAATATTAACAGCAAAAAGAGTAACACTTAGAAAGCATCCCTTTCACTAACTTTCAGATAACCATATAAACAACAAGAAATCATACCTACTCTCTTTCTCTGGGTATCTTAAAACGACAATTGGAGCTGTTTGTACTTTGTTTTGAACTTTGAAGAATTCTATACTTTGCAACCCAAATCTAAGTTCCATTAATAAGAAATATTTTAAGGAAGACATGGCTGGTCTAGTTGTTTCTGTAAATATTTACCCCATGAGAGAAGTACGTTACATATATCAACCATGATACTATTAAGGATGTTCTTGTAAATGTAATTATCAACTTGTTTCACAAACACGTATTTTTTAACCAGATTAGTGAGATGATAAATGGGCGAAGACAATTATATATTCTACAAGCAAGCGTTA